ACATGGTTGCCTGGCTGGGAACATGGATTCATAGATTGGATGCATGCCACGTGGCATCTGGTCTGTCTGTTCATCGAGCACCATCCTTCTTCTTTCCCCCCCCCTTTTTTTCAGACGAGTCTTCCATTTATTTCCATTGTTGCTACATTTTTCCCCCGAATAGAACGTACGGTCATTTCTCCTGCATCTGGACTAACAGGTGAGCCAAATACTGAATACGTTCTGTTCGGAATAGAGCCAAATACCGTACGGTCATTTGTGCGGCATCTGTAATGAGTCTAATGACTGTACGTGTTCTATTCGGGGGGGGGAAAAGACGGTGGATCTTCACTTTTTTTTTTTTTTTTTTTGGATCTTCACATTTGGTGGTTGCTCTAATAAAGAGTCTAATTCGGTTCGGGGGAAAAAAAAGACGGTGAATCTTAACATTTGGTGGACCTCCTTTACTGAAAGTATCGGACCGCAAATGCAGCTAGATACCGAACGGAAAGACTACTCAAAAGAGAGAGAGAGGAACACTTACTTAAGACGTCTCAAAAGAGCGGTAAACACTATTACAGTCTTCCCCCGAATACAACGCACGGTCATTATAGCTGAATTTAGACTGAAAGGTAGCCCAAATTCAGCTATAATGACCGTGCGTTGTACTCGGGGGAAGACTGTAGCGGTAGTAGGGGCATACACCACAGTAGTGCAACCGTAGTAGCTGGACCTTTACTGAACGTATCTGACCGCAAATGCAGCTAGATACCGTTCGGAAATTCTACTACCTATAGTGTGTGAGTATCGCCCTAATCTTTTTTTTTTTTTTTTTCCTGCCTGCCTTGTGAATGAATGGTCAGTCTTAAAAAAAAAAAAAAAAAAGAATGGTCAGTCCACACGTTATCGTTAATCAACTTTTTTTTTTTTTTTTCACGACCCCAATTGGATAGAATGATAATTCAGAGTTTTTTTTTTTTTTTTTTTTTTTTTTTTTGGTATTTTGGCCTACCACCACTATTTTTTGAATTAAAAAAAAAAAAAACCCCGCTATTAATTTCAACCAAAAAAAAAAAAAAAATACTAACCTCTTGATGCCACGTCGGATAGTTGGACTGACGTGCCCTTAGCTGCTTCGTCCG